ATGGCAGAAACTGCGAAGATCTTTCACAAATTCTTGAGCGATGCCGACTAGGCGTCGTGTATGGTGGTCGAAGAACTCTTCCGTGAAGACATGTAGTACGGTGAGTGCATTTGACACGTCATCAAGCGTTTGGTGCTTTGTAGCTTTTGAGATACCGACTGATACGGCAAAGTTGTTTAGATTCACGGGTCCGTCGGCATACCATGCTCGTCGTGCTGCAAAGTCGAAACAATTGAAGTGCATCAGTGGAAGGCCTTGAGCACCAAATTCAAAGTCGTAACCCGAGTTATGATCGCTGGACCCGATCATAACACGGGTCTATGAGCTTGGTAGAACGGGACGAAACCATACAATCGGCATCAGCAGCAGGGTCCTCACCTGCATTCTCCGGGGCAGCGATCAGTTCATTAACTCGTTGTTGCGTCTTCGAGGGGTTGAATGTGTGCTTTGGGCGCCGCTCGCGATTCTTCATTGCGTCGATCAGAACGGAAGGTGACACTAGTCTGCGGCGTTGACTCTCGCGGCTGCCCGTATATGGCGCGGACCGCTTAGAAGCCCCGGGCTGGCTCATACTCAGGTAGAAACGGATGAGCTCGGGACGATCGGCAATTGCGGCGAGAACTTTTGCGTGGTTATCGCCATCCCGATGTGAGGCCCCACCGCAGCATTATCTACCACCCGTGACCCCAATTGCGCTGGGGTCACTGTTGAATCATCGTCTATAGCATTAAGGATTGCTACTAATTCCTTGTTGTTGCGGACGTCAGCGTTGCTGACACATAGTGGTGGCATATTTGCGTGGTAAGGGTCGTCATCAAATCTGGTTCCAATGTTGCCGCGGACACTGGGAGTCACTCTCTGACCTCCATCGATGTAGTATGCAAAATCGACGCATGACGAACACTCACCGTTGACGCTTGACCTGTAGTGACATTAACCGAACGAAGTGTGTCGTCCGGTTTTGGCTGCATTCGAGGTGGGATAATTCCAGCGAGAAGGTTTGAAACCGCGCGCGTGGGTCTTTGTTCACCGGTACCGAGCAAACGATCTAGAACCTGGTTACATTGCCCAATGAACTTGTCGGGTGACATGTCGATGACGCGATGGGCACTCTGACCGGTTATATCAAACCAGCCCCTTGAAGGCGGAAGAGAAGGAGGAAGAGAGGCTTGGGGCTGGCGGGGAGAAAGCGAAGTGCTGGTCTCCCTGACCAACTGCTCCCAACCAAACAACTGGTTGAGAGAGCCGCTCAATTAGTTAGTACTATCTCTAATATCATACTTTTCGATTATCATATGCAGTCTACTTGATACACTCACCCTCCCCAAATAGAATAGCATTCTATACTCGATGAAGCTTGTCCTCAATTTCTTGTCGCTTATCGCCCTGATGTCCTTTGTCCTTGGCGTCGCCGGCCGAGCTCCTTTGCCCCTCGCACTTGTAAACTCGCGCTGTTCCGGTCCTTCACCTGCCGCTACCTATTGTCGCTCGCTCCGTCCGCATAGAATCCCTCATCGGGTTGCCATGGCTCGTTCTACACCTGTTGCTGCACGCGTGACTGATCACATGACAGCGCGCCAACTCCAACGCCACTTGAATCTTGTTCATCGTCAAGCTGCCGCTGCTGAACGTCCCTACACCGTGTGGTCCATCGTCGATCGCCGTGGCGCCTTAGGTGCCTACGTATACAGCGTGGTTTGGGCTGGGTATACCGGTTCCGCTAGTCGTACCTGGGAGCCACGTGAGTGGCTACTTGCGGAGCTCGCCGACTTCAGCGTAGCGGTTTAACTGGTCGATGGCTGGAAAGACTCTGGAATCCGGATCACGGTCGCGCGTTTCTGCCGTGAGCGAGACGTACCGCTCTCTATTGAAGCTGATGACCGGGGCCTCTGTGGCTTCGCTGCACTCGCGTCGGCCTCGAGCGCGTTGGGTTTGCTGAACTCGTCCTCTCATGCTTTGATCGACGCGTTTTTGACTGGTGTGAAGCAGCCTCACTATGGGTCGAGGGACACTGTGTGGCCCACACTGCTGAGGTTTGTGAAGTGGTCCAATAGCG